TCGTCATTTCTCCTTCTACGCTTTTCATCATCTTCCATCTCATTTTGGGCCACCTAGAGATTGAACATTCATTCTGATTGGTTAAACAATTCTTCTTTTTGCTGATCAATTTCCCACATCATCCTTGAGGAAGAAGAAAACATTGAAAGAAGGAAGCAAAAACTATGAATAATGATACATATTTTGATTTTGGTGAAGAATGAAGCAGAAACTATGCATAATGATAGAGATCTTGAGAAAATTGGTGTGAGATTTGTGAGGACGGGTGGTGGATTATATGGAGGATTCATAAAGGATTAGGTTGTAGATAATGCCACGTGGCATGCCGTCATTCGTTAAAAATCTGACCGAAATCTATCCTCAAAGATTATAAACAGATTGTGACACGTGGCGCGACATGATTGGTTAAAAATCTTATTGGAAGTCCATCACCAATAATTGTATTTTCGGATAATGACACGTGGCGCAACGAAAACGATTAAAAATCTTATCAGAAATCCATCACCAATAATTGTCTTTTCGGATAATGACACGTGGCGTAATGAGAACGATTAAAAATCTTATTCGAAATTACTAGGGGTGGGCACTTGAAACTAAAAACCGCAACCGAAACACGAACCAAATCGAACCGTACCGAACGGTTTGGTTTTGCAGTTTCAGAACGATTCTGGTTTGAAACCAAACTGAATAGGGAAAAACGGTTTGGTTTCGGTTTCGGACCTCCGAAACCGAAATTACATGTTAAATTCTAATTGGTTATTTACATTGAGTCCATACATTTAGTATGTACTGAACCACATCATAACATGGCCACATAACCCTTTGCTTTCTTTCTTCTAGTTTGTAGACTCTGTGCACTCTTTCTCAACTTTATTCATCTCTCTCTCGGTCTCCACTCTCCACTCTCTAGATGCTCTCTCTCTCTCGGTCTCCCCTCCGGCCTCCTTTTGTCTTCATTCCAGGCTTTCCAACTCCTAGCTTCTAAATTTCAAAGTGCTAATATGGTAAGAACTATGATTTATAACTTGTTTTAGTTAAATTTACTTATAGATTTGAGATTAATTTTAGGGTTAGGTTTAGGGTTGGGTTTTGAATCAAAAGGGGATTTGGTTAGTCTTCGATTTTTCTTCGTTCATGAACATTAGAATGTCAATTGAACGCATATATGATATTTGCATATTGGTGACATGGGAATAATGGGTAGATAGGTTTCTGCCCAGTATAATTTATTAATTTCAGTAAATTTTTACATAAAAAATTTAATGTGCAATTGTGCATACATTAATTTAGTATACATATATTTTGTATGTGCGTTTGTGTAGCAGATGCCTTACATTGCTTTTGCAGTTTTTTGAAGGCATTGTATGCAATCGATTGCTCAATTTATCAATTTTCCAATGGGTGTTTCTAGATGAAAATTTCTTAATAAGTTGTGTTGTCTTTGTCCTACTTAATTGGAAGCTTCTTTTGTCAAACATATTTCCTCTTTTAATATCGATAACCTCCAATCAAGTCCCACAATGCAACCTGACAAAAATATTTTCTACCACTGTACCTAATGCAATAATTAGCATGTCATCTGGCCTTTGTGGTGGTGAAAAGTCATACTTGTTGGATTTAAAGGACATGAAAGAAGATGTGATTGGAATTTAATCTCTCGTGATTATTATACCTATATGAGTTTGAAGTCATTTTATCAAGTATTCAAATATATGATGAGTTGTTCTCGGTTCTCCAATTCCTTTTAACAAAGTAAAATACTTATATGTCCGTCTGGGGTTATTTCATAATCATAACTATCACTAACAAAGGAAAATACTTATATGTCCGTGTGCGGTTATTTATTGACTTACAGATTAATTTGCAGTACTTGATCGTCTCCAACTTATTGAATATGCTACATCTAAAAATATGCAAACGTTGTTAATTGTTGTTCAACAAAAAGTGCTCTTCAAACTGCACTTGTATTTTGGATTTGTGAACATGAATTTATTAACTTGGTTGCCTCAAGTTGAATTATTTTGTTGTGGTGCTTGTGGATGTGAATTTTGTTGTCATCAACTAGGTAACCATAATAGTTTTTTCAAATAATGAAACTGATAGGAGCATATTTAGGCGACTTACTTAGCTTGTTTTCGTGCATCTATGTTGTTAATTCATAGTTGTTTTAGTAGTTTAAGCCATTTTCGTGTGTTTTTAGGTTCATATGGCTAAGGAAGCAAAAAGATGCATTTTGGAGCATTTTGGAGCAAAATTGGGCTTGGAATGGATAGCATATGATTGGAGCCAAAGTGTTGGACGAATTTGAAGGCCTTGTATTCATTTTGGACATAAAACAAAGGGCCTAGCCCATTCTCTCTTAAACCAACCCCAAGGCCATGCATTTCCTTCCAATTCCAAAGCCCACAATCACTTCAAAAGCCATGCAAAGAACCATCCATTCCATAAAAAACAATCCATCAATTCACATGCAAAACCACCATTAACACACATGCACCCAAACAAAGCCAACCTAGCTAACCCTACATGTATTCTTTATGCAACTCTTCATCATTCCACCATTCATTCTTTATTCCACAAACAAGTCACATGCATTTCCACCTTCCTACTTCATCATTTCACCACATTCTCCCTCTTTAACTCATTTCATTATTCATTCACTTTGCATTCATTCAATTCCACCCCACATGCACCCTTTATTCTTCATCATTGCAACCATGGCACATTTACACCAACAAAACAACTCCCATGCCATGGCCTACTCATATTCCCATTTCCTTTCCAACATCTCACATGCATTTCCACCTTCCTACTTCATCATTTCACCACATTTTCCCTTTTATTTCCACATGCAATTCTTCATCATTGCAGCCACAAACACCTTAAACAAATAGCCATATACATCTCCACTCCTCCTATAAATACCCTTGCATTCATTCATTCACAAATCATCTCATTTCATACACAACACACCTCAAAAATCATCCATTCTTCTCCCTAGCCGTGAGTCTCTCCATTTTCTCCACCACTCCTCATCCATTTCCATAATCCCCCAATCCATTCAACACACCAACAACATCCCTTAGTCCTTGTGCCACAATAAAGAGGAAGATAAGAGGGCCTAAACGTTCATACAATTCACGTTTGAGTTGTTGGAATGTTTACGCGTTTCTTTGATTTCAATGTTTAAATTCAATTCTCTTTGTTTTGTAATATGAGGAATGGAAGATAAGAGGGCCTAAACGTTCATACAATTCACGTTTGAGTTGTTGGAATGTTTAGGTGTTTCTTTGATTTCAAAGTTATGAGGAACTAAACCGTTTTTGGCTAGGGGTGATTTCAATACCATGATTATTTATGTAATATGAATTGATGAATTCCGGTTATGAACTCTTGATTCGTGAATGCAATTGGCTTAACTATTTGATGATTAACTTATTTATGTTTGTTGATTGAGGGTCGACACTTAATTAGCATGCATGAATATGTGGCTAAAGTTTAAGAAGGTTTCACATAATCGTTACTAACTTATACTTGAAAGTAGTGAAGGTCGCTTGTCACGATCGCGTTAAGTTTAATTCTTAGCATGAGTAACATGATGTCATAGTTGCAAATGCTTTGTCAATGCTTATGGTTTTCATTATTCTTAATGATCTTCGATTGTATCTCTATTATGATGACATGTAGGGAACTTTTGAGAATATTTTGGGTTGTCGAATGATGCCATCCAATCCAATAATATAAGGAAAATCTGAGGGTTAACTAGTGATGTCATGGTTAATTTGGGGCATTGTCGTTCATAATTCAATGAAGGAATAACTGGAAATTGATTCATATGCATAAATATCATGTGTGGAGAAAGAACCTCTAGCTAATTCACCAACCATCTTATTTCATCAATTTCATATTTACATTCTGTCTAGTTATTAACTTGTTTCGTTATTTCAATTTTCGTCAAACCTCAAATCCCCCTTTTGCTTTAATGTTCAATATAGTTAGAAATCAATTTAGTTTGTGTTTTTAAAGCATTTTGATTCTTTTGGTTTGTCTTAGTGTTTTAACGTTTAGTTTCACATTCTTTGAGTCTAGTTTAGTGTTTTATATTGTTTTTACGTTTTTAAGTCAATTTAGAAGGTTTTAGCAAGCCCTCCTAATCCCCGGTCTAGAACGATCCCTCACTTATCCATTCTACTACAATTGTCAAAAGAGGGTTTAATTTGAGTGTCAAGTAATTCTCGCATCAGAAACCAAAACCAAAACCGTTTGAAACCAAACCGAACCGAACCGAACTTGAGGTTTTGGTTTTGGTTTCACTCAAAACTGCACCAAACCAAACCACGCCCACCCTTAGAAATTAGAAATAAAATTATTTTGTATTATTTTATAAATAAATAAAATAGTAATATTTTATTACCAATTGCCAGGGTTATTCAAGTGCAGGGGTGGAGTTGCAAAATGCGTTTACTGTTCATGAAGGGCAGTTACTGTTCATTGAGTTGATAACATAGTGGATAGCCCTAGAGGGCCTCCACCATGCTGGAAGTGCTCTAAAGCTCCACCACATAATTGAAGACAGCCATTTCCATCATCTTTCATTTCTGAGACAAGCTCTCAGCCGCCATCTCGAGCCCAGAGCCATGAGAGCTCTCTTCCTCTCTCTTTATTTCTCTCAAACCTTAGCACAAAACCGCTGCTTTCTAGCCGTACCTCCATAACTATAGCTCATATTCGAAGTACAACATGCAACCCCTAAACTTGAAACAAACTCGCCTTGCTCAACCACCAGATCCATCCCATCTCAGTACAGCCATCACTGTACTCTTTGTCCTCAATGCACGGTAAAAATGCTCTCTCCTTCTGCGATATTTGTGCTTATGCTTAGATGAAATGGAAGAAAGATGAGATGTACTTCATGCATGTGTATATCGTGTGCAGGACTCTCGGATCCACAGCAGAAAACAACCCAAATCGCAGATCTTAAGGTAGAATCGAAGGTAAATATTATCAACCACGATTTAGATGAATAGGTTATGTGAATTTGTGTGAATGATTTTGTCTAAGTGTCTTTGTGTATTCGTGCACCAATGTATGAATATATCTTTGCATGCTCATAATTGTCCCTTTGTTGTGCATGTCTCCTGATGATGAATGCCGAGGAAAATTCGTGCAAAAATCTGCATCTGAACTTAGCTTGAGAACTCGTCTCCTCTGTGCTACTTGGTCCACCCCCAAAACTTGTATTGAAGTATTTTTTTTAATTGAAATGTGAGAGAGTGAGAGAGTGAAAGGGGTCCATTAGCATAGAGGTCTTCTCAGCATCCCCACTGTGAGTATCCCTGGACCTCATCATGTGCTTCCATTTGTGTTTAATTTGACTCCCAAGAATATTCTTATGAATGTGATGATGAGTTTTGTTGTGATGAATGGATGGTTGAATGCATACTGAGATGAATGGATTAATGTATGAATTCACGAGTAGTTGAGATTAGACCGAATCAGTTCCGAATGCAACCTGCAATCACAACTCAAAAACCTAATTAGATTAGTAAAGAAAAATAACATGAATTAAAAATTGCAAATTTTATTTTTTCAATTTTCTGATTTTTTTATTTTTTTTCGATTTTTGTAATTAAGAATAAAAGCAGGAAAATAAAATAAACGAAATAAAAAGAAAAGAGTTAGAAAATTGGGTTGCCTCCTAATTAATGCTTTAGTTAACGCCTATAGCTAGACGTAGAGGAATGAGGCTAATAATCATGTCACTTGTTCCTTCAAAATTAACCACTGCTTAGCAGCATCATAGAGTGTCAGTAGGTAAGGATTGACTTGAACTGTGCATTTGAATTCATTGGTTGAATCTTTCTTGTAAGGTTTTGGTATCTGTTGAATTGGCTTCCACCTTATATTTAACACCCACAATTTTTGCAATGGTTGGATTTCTCTATGAGGAACTTGGCTGTCAATAAGTGTCTTCTTTCCCATATAGATTTTTGCCTGTTCATAGGACTCATCTGGCATTTCTTCGAGTTTGATGGACTGTGTAGGTCCACTGCCTTGTGATGTACAATATGTTGATTTTGTATGAATAGCTTCTAACACATCAAATTTATGTGCATTCGTGCAGCCTTCGTGGGAAGGGTTTTAGTGGCACATAAGCATGGGTGGCCCTCGGTTCTGGGAAGAGATCCGAATGTGTTGCTTCCTCCCTTGGGCGTGAATGGCTGGCAGAGTGCTCCTCAGTTCTTGAGAGTCTCCTCCTGATCATTAAAGTTGTTCCTGCAGTTTGATGCTTGAATTTGAAATCCTTGATGGGTTCTTTCAATGCACAACTCAATTGATTCCAACAATATTGAAAGTTTGTCCTCCATTGAGAGCTTTTGTGGCACATTAGGTTGCTCAAAATTGCTCAAGATGTTTTTTTCAAACTTGTAGTGTAGAACTCTGAATATGGATTGTTCCAATGCCTTTTGGAGTCGATTCTCATATTGATATGTTTTTGGACAAACTGAGGAAAATATTCTCGTTCGGGGCACTCCAAAAGATCATGGGTCTTCAAACAACAAAGGGCACAAATTGTAGGTTTAAATCCATAATAACCCTTTTCTGCTAAAGAAACCCATAACGGCAATCCTCCTGTCGGTGGTTCCATCATGGACTTGCTCTCAAGATCAACAAATTATAACCTGCAAACCAAATAAAAATAAATAAAATCAACAAATAAATAAAAAGATATATACAAAAAAATAATTAACTAAGAATATGATAAACACAAATTATTTGAAACAATCCCCAGTGACGCCGCCAATTTCTTTATAGGTATTTTTACCATCTACAAATGTAGGGATGAAAACATTTAAAAATACTTGCAAGATTACAAGGTTATCGTAGTGTAGCAGCTCAAGCAAGGTTGTTTTCCACAGGGATTGAACCAATTTCTTTATAGGTATTTTTACCATCTACAAATGTAGGGATGAAAACATTTAAAAATACTTGCAAGATTACAAGGTTATCGTAGTGTAGCAGCTCAAGCAAGGTTG